AACCCACGGGCTCAGGCAATCCACTCACCTCAGCCTCCCAAGGCGTGGGATTACAGGCTGAGCCACCCAGCCCAGCTTCTTTTATCTTTTAGAGATGGAGTTTCATTCTGTTGCCCAGGCTGGAGTGCAATGTTGCTATCAGGGCTCACTATAACCTTGAACTCCTGCGCTCAAGCCATTCTCCTGTCTCAGCCTCCTGAGTACCTGGGACTACCGGTGCAATAATAAAATTAAAAAATTAGCTGGGTGTAGTGGTGCATACCTGTAGTCCAAGCTACTTGGGAGACTGAGGTAGAAGGATCACCTGAGCCCAGCAGGTTGTCGCTGGGGTGGCCGTGAGTGTCACTGCACTCTAGCCTGGGTGACAGAGTGACTCCAACTAAAAAGAAAAAAAAAAAATATATATATATATATATATATAGAGAGAGAGAGAGAGAGAGAGTTAAGAAAATATATATATAAGTGTTAAACACTTTTCAGAGGTTGCCCACCTCAATAAGTAGGGCTGAATTGGGACTCGAATGACCTCACCATAATGACTCTAGAATTGCTGCAGTCGGGGGAACCCAGGCAGTGGGGGCTGTGCTTGTGGTGCTCAGTGCCATGGGCTTCACTGGGACAGGAATTGCCACCTGTGCAGCGGCCATCGCCAACGGGGGCGGAGTTGCCACAGGCAGTCTGGTAGCTACTCTGCAGTCAGTGGGGGCAGCTGGACTCTCCTTGTCATCCAAAGTTATCCCGGGCTCTGCTGGGTTGCTTCTCAGGGCCTGACTGGGGAGATAAAAAAAGGCACCACCAGCTGGAGCCAGGAGGTGGCTCTCGTGGTGGAGATGACTCTCCAGGGACTCTGGATGACAGTTTCCTCCTCCTCAAATTGTTCAAGCCAGCATGAAAAATAAAGATGTAGCCGGGCTCGGTGGCTCAGCCTGTAATTCCGCGCCTTTGGGAGGCTGAGGTGAGTGGATTGCCTGAGCCCGCGGGTTCGAGACCTGTCTGGGCAAGTTGGCGAGACCTCATCTCTACAATAAGTCAAAAAAATTAGCCAGGCGTGGTAGTGAGCGCCTGTAATTCTGGCTACTCGGAAGGCTGAGGAGTGAGACTCCAACTCAAAAAAAAAAAAAAAAAAAAAGATGTATGTGACCAAAAAAAAAAGTAGAATACAGTAGAAAGACTTTACCACAGCCTCATACTACTTCCATAACTCTCCTTCTCTGTCATTCTGTTCTGCCTTCCCTGGCTTTCTTGCTTTTCCTCTAATGTTTCCGGCTGCCTCCAAACTCAGAGCCTTGGCATTGGCCTGCTCCTGTGTCTGTCCTTCTTCCAGATAACAGCATGGCCCTTCTTTTATATTCTTTATATTTTTCTCAAGTGTAACATTCTCACTAAAGCCTTCTCTGGTCATATTATCCTAAATTTCATCACATTCTCCTACTTGCTTCCTATCCCCTTTCCTGCTTTATGTTTTTTCCTCATCTAATCTGATATACATTTTTTAAAAATTATTTTACTTATCATTAGTCTCTCTTGTTCAGTTTCATGAGGTCAGAGGTTTTCTTCACTATGTCCCTAGTGCTTAGACCAATGCCTGTCATAATAGGTACTTACTTCAGAAATACTTGTTAAATAATTGAGTACCTGCATAGCTCCCTTCCTCACTTTCTTCAAATCTATTCAAATATCACCTTGTCAGGCCTTTCCTGAAGATCCTATATAAGATAGCATCTTTTCCCCTACATACACACCCAGAGATCATTATAGTAACTCCGTGCCCTGTTTTTTGTTTTCTAAATTGTGCTTAGCACCATTTGACATGTTATATATTTATGTGTTTGTCTTCTTTCCCTTCTCTGTAGATTGTAATTTCCACCAAAGCAAGGAGTTTGCTTTGTTCGTCACCGCATCCCCAGCGCCTTGGATCAGTTTTTGGAGTTGGCGTCTCACTTCATTGCTCAAGCTGGAGTGCAGTGGCATGCTCACGACCACACCAGCGTCGACCTGTTGGGCTCCGGTGATCCTTCGACCTCAGCCTTCCAAGTAGCCAGAACTACAGGCATGCGCTACCACTCCCGGCTCATTTTTGATTTATTGTAGAGACAAGGTCTCGCCAAATTGCCCGGGCTGGTCTGGAACCCACAGCGTCAGGCAGTCCACTCGCCTCGGCCTCCCAAAGTGCTGGGATTACAGGCTGAGCCACCAAGCCCGGCCTGAATCAATTCTTGACTCATGGTAGGTACTCAATAGTATTTCTTAGATGAATTAATAACCCAATTCTGGCTGGGTATGGTGGCTCACGCCTGTAATCCCAGTACTTTTGGGAGGCCAAGGCGGGAGGATTGCTTGAGTCCAGGAGTTCAGGACCATCCTGGGCAACACAGTGAAACCTTGTCTTCACAAAATAATCAAAAAATTAGCCGAGAGTGGTGGTGCACGCCTGTGGTCCCAGCTACCCGGGAGGCTGAGGCTGAAGTATAGCCTGAGCCCAGGAGGTCAAGGCTGGGGGGGGGGGGTGAGTCTGACCCGTGCACTGCACTCCAGCTTGGGAGACAGAGACTCCGAATCAAAACAAACAATCCAATTCTGATCAAACAGCAATCCCTCGCTACCACACACACTGCCAGGGTGGCCATGAGAGAAGCACAATTGAAAGAACCTCCCCAGCGGGGTCTCGCTATGTTGCTCTGGCTGGGACATATGGCTATTCACAGGTGCAATCATCATGCACTACACTCGAGTTCCAGGGCTCAAGTGGTCCTCTTGCCTCGGCCTCCCGAGTAGGTGGGACTACTGGTTTGCCCCTAAGTTTTAACCACAGAATTGACAGTTCAGGCCAACACAGAGAATAAAAGTATTTAGGAAATTACTCTGTACATTTTCGGACGTAACTGACTCTAGCTAGCACTGACACCGAGTCCAAGAACGAAAGCTACTCCCCTGTATCCTGGGCGCGGAGCTACAAACTCGGCATGAGCTTCTCGCGGCCGCCGGGCTCAGTATTGGCCGAGGATTCGCAAGCACCTCCCGGGAGGGGCAGCCGCGCACGCAGAGGCGGGAGTGTCCCTGAAGGCGTGGGAGGTGGAGCGAGGAGGGGCGGGTCCGGTCGTTCTCCGCCCAGGCTCAGGATTGGCCGAATCTCTGAAGGTCCCGCCCTCTCGGGGGCGGCCGCTGGCGCTTGGGCGGGGGCGTCCCAGGAGGCGCGTGGGGAAGGACCGAGGAGGGGCGGGGCCAGGCGTCCTCCCGCCCCCCCAGCCTCAGAATTGATGGAAGCTCCGCAG